ATTGGACCTTATGCTCATTTTTTAAAAATCTATTCAACCTATATATTATTGTTCTTTTAAATAAATTATTCCTTTTTTATTTTTATCAACATTTTAAAAGTAACAGGCGCAAAGGCAATGCATTCTTAATTCTTTTTAACCCAGTTTGAACATGGCGCTCCATTAAAAGTTCCATGTAGGGATACAAAGTGAATAAACTGTAGTTAATATAAAAATTAAAAATTACAAAAAAAATCCGCACAAAAAATAAACAAGAAAATCATATGGTAAAAAATAAAAACAGTTTTATGTACTCATCTTCAATAAGGATTTTTATATCACTTCACAAACACTTGCTGACAGGCTTAAAACAGACTACTGTGTTTCTTTTTTATCGTGGCATATAGTGTCATGGAAGAGACACATCTCCCATAGTTTTAGGCATATAAACACTTGGTCTTCAGTTGGAGATGGTGTTTGGGAAGGTTAAAGAAGTGCTTTCTTGGTGAAGCTAGGTTGTGACTGGGGGTCAGCGGGCTTTGGGGGTTTAAGGCCTTGTCCCACAACCAGCTTGCTTTCTGTGTTTTCTGTTTGCAGTTCAAGAGGTGAGTTCTCAGCCTCCTGTTCCTGCTGCCACACTGCCACCACAGTATGGACTCTGACTCTTGACAACCATAAATAAAAATAAACTCTTTCTTCTGTAAATTGCCTCGGTCATGGTGATTTATCACAATGACAGAGAAGCATACCATGATGCACCATTTCTACACTGCCATTACTGACTTCTCTGAGTGGCTGAATGTTCATAGCTTAGTTCCACTTGCAGGGGAGTATAAAATAGAGATAGGTGTTTACGTACTGGCTTTTTGCTTCCTGGATTATAATTGCATTTTTTGTATTCTTCTAGGCCTATACTCTTGGACAGTTTGCCTAATTGGCTTAAGAATTAGTCACTTCATCTATAAAATGAGAATAACCTAGGGCTAGTTTGAATGTTAATTGAGATAATATATACAACCGACCTACTGAATACTAAATTGATAGACTGCATATTGCAAGGATAGTTTGGAAACACAGAAGGAAGGAAAAAGTTCTCATGCACAGAAAAGAATATCCTAACATAGTCCCAATTATCTTTCTTCCTAATAGAACCCAAACAGTAACAATTTACAGCTGCATGGAGAATTGATAGAAAATAGATTAAATTTTGCACATTGACCATTATAACAGACCTGAACAATTTTTGTTATCAGTAATTTATAAGGGCATGAATCTCTCCAAGGGTCTGCATGGACTTTTATTCCTACACTGTGGTATATTCCAAGCGAAACAAGGGAGAAGCAATCAGTAAACTGTGTTCAAAAGCATCGAGTCCTCTTGCCTAGTAATTAGATTACACCCACATCCTTTCTGACCTCAGACCAGCCCATCTCACCCCTATTCATGGGAGTTCAGCACTTGACTGCTAGGGGCAGAGTGCTTAGGTTTGAATTCCAGCTCTGCTTCTCACTGACTCCATGACTTAAAACTAATTACGTACTGACTTCTGTGCTTCAGCTTCAACATTTGTGAAGCAAATTACACTAGAACCTGCTTCATAAAAAATGGAATAAAAATGAGAAAATAATTGAGTAGAGGGAAGAGAGAGAAGGAATTCTCGAGACACAGAGGAGTCACAGAGAGGAGAGGACTGGCAAATAAGTCAAGGGAGCAACAAAGGTGCCCTCACTTTTAACGTGCCATTTCTGAAATGGCAATTGTCTTAGATGGGAGGGGCTGACTGCTCTTCTCTCATAAGTGCGCCAAGATCTTTACCATAGTCTAGTAGTAAAATGGTTACAACAACAATGTAGGAGTAAAAGGATAAATCTCCGTCTTTTTGAAACACCACCTAGAAAAAGAAAGCTTATAAAACTTAACTAATATTCTTCAGTTTTAAAGAAAAAAATGGCTAATACAAAAATGGGGAATTGAATGGTCTTTAATAGAAAAACAGCTAAGTTCCCATCTTCAGAAGCTAGTGATGTCTCATTCCTTATAATTCACACCTAAGAGTTTCTTCCTACAAATGAACTAAACAAAGAACCTTGGAATTACATACACTCAAGTATTAGCGAATCTGATTTTAAAATGCTATTTTCCCCCAGTATAAAGGGGAAGCCCTTGCAATTCAACAGTAGAAATAAAATTAAAAGCAAACTAACAAAAACAACTCAATGATGCCAGTAAAGGAACCAGGAACATTCTAAAGTGAAGAAGATGCAAACCAGAAGCAAAAACTGACGTCTTGGTGCCCATTCTACCAGTGTCCGCTCAGACCTGAATATGTATTCGGTATGAAGCCATCCACTGAAAGACTGTATGTTCATCTCTTCTGCCCCTAAGTATGGCTAGCTGTCTATTTATTACCAGTGAGGTGTTAATAGTGTAGCTATTGGAGACTGTGCTGACACAAAAACCTTGCATAGATTTTTCAGTCCCTTCTAGTTCTTCCTTGCCCTGTGATTACTGTAATGAAGCTGGAAGGATCACAGTGTGTGTAGTTTTGAAAAGAGTGCAGAGCACAAGTCTAGGTATGCATTCTACATGGATCTATATTTTGTTTGTCGTTCCAGTTGCACTGTGCAGATCTAAGGAATCATAGGAAGACACTAAGATGAGAGATGTGAAAACTTCTTGCAGCCAAGATCCCCCAAACTGGGACAGCACAGCAGCATCTCTGGAGAGCTCACTTCCAGATTTAGTTTCTGAGAGAATTAGCATGACTAACCTGCAATTGACATGGACTCTATATTGTGTGAGGTCCATCTTAATTCTAGTCTATATCACTGTAGGAGTCTGCCTGTACCTTTTATTATTTATAGGAAATGCAGCCATAAGCAGAACACGGAAGCACGTCTGGGACTTGAAATATAGTCATCCCATATATTTCTTTTGGAGATGAACATGCGGCCATCCACCTCAAGAGGAAACTGAACTAATGAGAGTACAGGAAGCTGTTCCAATTAAGAAGGCAGATTATAGATGTGTCCTTTGGGGGAATGGAGTAAGAGGGGTTCTGTAGAACTCCACTGTATATATAAAGAATAAATACACTCATAGATATCTATATTTTTCTAGCTTTTCCAAAGTTCGCGAATGGCTTTGTGGTACTTTTACAAAACTGTACACATCAGCTTAACTGTTAAAATAAAAATGATGCAGGAGTTGAAAGGGTTATTTGCCAAAATAAATTCCTAAAAATGGGTGTATTTTCTATGGCAATATTATCTACTTCTTAGGGACCTTCTGCTCAGACCTGAGAAATCAGGTAGTCTCTGTTTTAAATAGAGTCTACCTGCAATGATTTTGGTCTGGGTGATCCCTTGTCTCATTTGTATGATTCTGGTCTACTCCTCAATGGCATTCCTTTCTACGGCAATGGCGGTATTTTCCAATACTAATCTTATAATATGAAATACCCTACATTTTCCACTACATTATTGTCATTAGAAGCTACATTTCATATCTCTAAGAATATGTCCTCTGGAACATATAGTTCTTAGTCTTTACATTTGCTTTGTTCATTCACATGTTCACTTATTCAACTGACAACTGATTATATATCTCTTTATGACATGCCAAGTAGTGCACATGACAAAAGAGAGGAGAAAATATAAAACACACTCTGCTCATTCAGGGAATGAGTTGACCACAAATGGGCAAAGACAGTGGGACAGTAGGTAGAGCTAGTACAACATGATCAGCATAAAAATATACAGAAGATAAAAAAAAAAGAATCCTTGATTCTTCTGGAAAAAAAAATGAGAGAAGAATAATACCAGAAGGATGATCCATTGAATTCATTCTTTGCAAAAGTTAATCAGCAGGTGGTAAGTGAAAATTAGGGCAGTTGAGATTGAATGTTTGAGACCAACAAAGGTACAAGTCTAATTTTAGTTGACTACAGACTCAAGGTATGAGAAAAGACTCAAGAGGTATTAGGAGTAATGCCTGTCACCTCTACCCAGTGTTCTGAACATAGCGTGATCTAGATAGCGATTGACCGCTGTACTCGCATGTTCTGTGAACTGTGCTGCTGGCCCTGTACACACTCTCCAGCCGACCACATCTATGACATTCACAGGGCAGAAAGTTAGACTGAGTCATGGTTGTAGTTCACTGGCTCGATGTGCTTCATTTTGTCAGAAGAGGAGACTGAGCCATGGTTTCCACTAATATAATGATTCTCAGAGAACAATATGATGTTGATAAATATCAAGACCACAAGTAACTCTTTGATCAGCGTTAGAAAGCTTAACTGAATGTAAACATGGCCACTCAACATTCCAAGCAGAGAACTTTTGAGATGAAACTTGTAGTTTTCCTCAACAGGTTTATTCCCCTGTTCAATTTGAAAAAAAATCAACACTATTCTTTTTTATTTACTCTGCTTTCTCTTCGGATTATATAACCTTTTGCCTTTTACTAATGTCAACACTATATAAAGTGATGAAGGGAGGATAAGTTTTAGGCTCAAATGAGAAGAAAAAAATCTTCAAATCAAATAAAACAACACTCTGTTGTTCCTTAGAAAAGAAGAAGAAAATTGATATACAATGTTGTTATAGTTGTTCAAAAAGACATAAAGATCGGCATCAAGCATATTTATAGAATTATTTGGAAAATTTTAAGCACTATAATAATAGTATTGATTTTTTTTCCAGAGATATTCTGAGAGATTAAATATTGTGCTTGAGAAAGAAGGAAATTACATTCCAAATGGTAAATAAAAACTAATTTTCTACATTAGGAATTTTCTAGCTTCAACTTCCAAACATATTTTCCTAAGCACCACATCTTGCCAAGAGTTCTCTGCTTTCTCTTTTCTCTCTTTGTTGGGAAAGTTCCTATTGTATTTTCTGAGTCTATGTTCTATCAGTTCAATTCAGGCAGAGCCTACAGTACAGGGAACAAGAAGACCCAGTCCCAACACACAGATCAGGATCCAGGCAAGAAAAAAAAAAGAGTTGCTTTCATACCTTCAATAGGTTTTGGTACAAAATGAGAGGAGGGTTTAGTTTTCTTCACTCTGTTCCCCTTCATGATTTGACCTTCTTTGTTGAGTCCTAGAAACCATGCACGGCCTGACTCCTGCTGGCGATACAGGGTTGAAGAATAGATCACATAGTAGTTTTCAAACACAGACTCCTTAAATTTGCATTCTGGAGTAAAAACATCCTGCAGAAAAGAACACAGTAAGAGATAAAGGAGTTAGTAATGACTTAGCAGTGCCTACATCCAGCCAGTATGAAACACATGTCCAGTGTTCAGAGCGAGTCAGAAGACGATGCACACAGTGTCAGTTGGCAACCATACGGGGAGTCATTGTGCAAAATCAGAACCCAAGATTAGTTTTTTTTGTTTTTTGTTTTTTTTTTTACAATCAGCTTTGAGTCCAGAGAAAACAACTTCTCAGATAAGGTCATTCACTGGAGGCTCTGGCCTTGGATGGGTCTAAAACTTTATTTAGCACAATGTTTTATAAATCGAAATGTTTGGTCAGTCCTCATTTTAGTGGTCCTTAGCGTAGACTTAAAGCAGTAGAACTTATCCCTAGGAACCATAATCAGAAGGGAACCACAGACAATATAGACACACCAGATGTTTCTGAAGGGAATAGACAATATACACAAAAACCTATTACCCCGTGAAAGCTTGTTCCCTGATCTCATCGCTGTGTTACTACTTTGCTTTATGCCTGTAACTTCCCCCTTTAACTCATTTAAAACATGGTATATTTAATAATCAAAACTTTAGATAAAACAACCTTAGGAGTGGGCAGGAGGAGAGAACACCAATGTTCAATAATCCTCAATGAAACACAGGATGACACTGTTTCTCCAGCAAGAAACCTTAAGAACATTTACTTCCGCCCCATCACTTTAGTGAGAAGACCAAACATGCTTGCCATAGCGACTCTTTGTCACTGCACACTGGGATGTTTTCAATGTGAGACCTCACAATGCAGCACATTTACACAGAAAACTCTATAAATGATGACCACACTGGAAAAAAGCTGGTGGGAACCATGTCCTTGAGGTGACGCTCCTGAATCTTAGAGAGGGCTAAGAGACAAACAAGTGGGAGGCTAGTGAAGGTTGTCAGTGCTAAGAAGAACAACAGAGTCAACTAACCTGGGCCCAGGAATCCTGCAGAGGCTGAAGCACTAACCAAGGCCCATGTCTGGACTGAATCTAGGTCCCCTACACATATTTACCCAATGGGCATATAGTTCCCTAATAAGGGGAGCGGGGGCTGTTACTGACATGGACCCTGTTACATGCTTTTCCATCACTTCTCCCTGGTAGGGTTGCCTTTCCAGGCCACTATGGAAAAGAATGTGCTTAGTCCTGCTGCAACTTGAAGTGCTGGGGTGAACTAGTGGGGAGGGGCTTTCCTGAGGGCTAGAGGAGAGGGAAGGGAGAGTGGGACCAGGAGAAGAGGAGGATGGGAACTGTGACTGAGATGTAAAGTGAACATCTAAATAAAAAAAAGTTAAAAGGAAAAAAAAAGGAATCTGCTTCATACACAAATTTAAAAAAAGGGGGAGATCCTTTTATTTGAAATGAATCTCACATTACTGACCAAATAATGCCACTGAGAAGGTGGAAATTCACTAACAATAGTAATAGTACATTAAAACTAAAAGTGAGAATTTTTGAAGTATTATTTGTTCTAATTTTTTTTTTCCTGAGAACATGGGAAATAATCAGGTATGAGAAACTATTTAATATGATGGTGATAGAAACTATGTAGTAAAAAGTGTTAATAATGATGAGAATGTGAAAAAACTGTTACTCTCATTTATTGCTGGTGGGAGCACAAAATGGTGTCATAGCTGAGAAAATAGACTGACGTTTTCCCAAAAGAATAAACATACAGCTAGCAATGATCAAAACATTCGACTCTAGCTATGTATCTACAGGAAGTGAAACCGTGTCTATAAGGAAGTTTATACATAAATTTTGACAGTAGTATTGGTTACAGAAACAACTCAAGTATCTATGAGTAGATCAACAAAGTGTGGCTTTGTATAATGTATCATACAAAGTATTACTGTATTATGTATTACTGTTCATTGATAAGAGGAATGGGATCCTGACTTATGTTACAATACAAATGAGCCTTTAAACGCATTATGATAAATGGAACACAAGATCATTAGGCTACACGGTGCAAATGCTACCTGTTATTTGATTCCATTTATATGAAATATTACAGCAAGGTTTATGATATTGCATATAATGAGCAAACAATTTCAGAGATGGAAAGTAATGTATGTTGAGTGCTACCACTGAGTTGGAATAAAGGAGAGAATGACTGCTTCCCTGGAGAGATGGAAACGAGTCTGAATTCTATAGTTCCTATATTTGTGTAACTGTATAGAAATACTAAAATCCACCAAACTGTAACTCTTTAAATGTGGATTTTATTGTGTATAAATTATATTTTTTAAAAAAACAGAGATGCAGAGTGGCTGGAGAAGACAAGGGGAAACAATAAAGCCATATTAAAGAATATTGCCAATACCTGGCAGCACTGATCTTATCAATGTGTGCTTTTTCTGACATCATGCCCATAATAAGAAGAAGGAATTAAGCCATTGCCAAGTATAGGAATTAGAGAAGTACATATTCAGTCTGTTAAAAGTATCATTAGGATAGACATCGGAAGTGGGAGAAGACAGGGAACAGGACAGGAGACTACCACAGAGGGCCTCTGAAAGACTCTGCCCAGCAGGGTATCAAAGCAGATGCTGAGGCTCATAGCCAAACTTCTGGAGATAGTTAAAAAAAAAAGATTTGATACAAATGGACACAAATTATAAACCTTCAAGAGCCTCCTGTTAACACTATCCTTATGAGAAAAAGCTTGCATTTTGTTCTTTTGACACATATTACTGTGTTGTCTAGCATCCAGAAACCTATGCACAATACTTGAAACAAAATATATAGTCCTTTACAAGTCTCTGACCAAGACTTGAACAATCACACACATTCAGATGGGTTGTAAGATTATTCAATGACTGTCCACATCGACACCGCGTTTTGTGTGCAGTAAAGACAGTCATTCTGGGAGCCAAAGGAGCCAAGACCCTAGAGTGCTTTGACTAATATTCGAAACAGAGCCCAGGGTTGTGTAAAGGAGGAATTTTTCCTCTTGAAAATTCACATTGCAACTTGTGAATTCATATCTCTGTGACCCCGAGCTCCTTGCATAATGTGGCCATTACAGTAAAGTCTATCCACACACTTTTTTTTTGAAGAAATAGAACCTCTCTACTCATGCATCATGTTTGTAGAAGAGGTAAGAGCTCATGCTACAACCCAGTCCACTACTTTTTTTTTTAACAATGATTCCTTTAGTATAACATAAATGACTTCAATGTAATAAGAATGGGTCAATATTGTTCTGAAATAAATATTTATCAGTTTGCTGTGTTTTGGTTCCAGCACTTTATAAGCCTAGGAGAAGCTCCTTTGGCCCTCTAGACATTTCTCCAGCCAAGGCTCTCTTTCAAAAGGTCAGAACATTCACCCACCTTGATCCAGATGATAAATGAATACTGAATCATTATTCAAGTCCATGATGTGCTCACCTAGAACCCCTGCCAAGGTCATCCCATCCTGTCTCATTCCAGTTTGACCCTGAGGAATTCTAGATTCACACCTTCAGAGTTGTATGTGGCACTTGGATTCTCCCCCACTTCAGATGTATTCCTGACTCCCTTCTTTCCACTTAGAGTTCTGATCCACATGGTTTCTGGCTTCCTAGATGGGAGTTGATGAGTATTTCCTTCTTGGCCATGCTCTAGTTGTGGTGACGCATGCAGTAATTAGTCTCACTTAAATGCAGTTTCTTGGAAGATGCACATACCATGACGATTAAGGATGTGAAAATTCAGAAATTCTAATGAACACATGGAAAAATGCTATATTTTTCCATGGGTTACAACATTGATAATGACCTCATCACATGCCAGGTCCCCACCACACTGCACTTCCGCAGTCATGGCCATGACACTCTCTCAACTCCTCTGTTGTACACATCCATGAAGGATGCTATTCACAGTTCCATTAGGTGATGCTGAACTCTCCCTGCTCTGTTTCTCAGAGCATTTTTATATTTCTTCCAATATTTAATGTGTTGTCTGTGCCATCATGGTTTGTCCACCTCCCATATACTCACTGTGCTGTCCCAGAGCACATTTTTTTAAGTCCCAGCACATTTAGCACTCATTTTATTCTTGTTGAAACAAATAGTAAAAATATTATACACCAGGGAAACAGTCATGATAATGTATAACAATATAGAAAAATGATTGACAGAACAGAGTAGGTTGTATTATCTCAAACATACAAAATTTTATATTGATTTAAAAACTTTGTTTTCTTATCTATAAATGAAAAGACAATTTTCATATGAAAATGTTATGAAATTTAGTAAAATAAAATGTGTTACTTTCTAAAATCTTTCTCCTTTCATACTGAAGATTTTCCTTCTAAATTTGCTAACAGAATTACTTCTGCAAACACATTTTCATTGTATACATGTATGTATAGCTACTTGAAACAGCAAATTAATGGGAAGAATCAGGAGCCAGATACCATTAATGTTCTGCCCAGATACAGTCTCCAGACTCCAATGATGGAGTGCAGTTACTAAAACCCAAGACATGGATGCTGAGGTAGAAATTTACTTCCCCAGCCTCCTGCAACAAACAAACGTTTAGAGACTGCAAGAGAGTGCCAAGTGACTATCTGAATCCATGTAAAGATATGAAACTTCTTATGAAATATTGTTGGACAATCCCAGCACTCATGAAGCTGAGGGAGGAGGATTGGTGAGAGTTCAAGGCTAGATGAATGGAGGGAGGAGAACAACAGATCTTTTATCAGAGAAATGTAGACTTCAATGCACGGAATATACGTTTAAAACAAAACATTTCTCTTATTTGAATGTTGACTATTTCGTTTATTTGATTTCTCAAGATTCCAGTGGGCTCTATGATTCCCCTCTAGGAATCTCAAAGTTTATTTTAAGTCTTGGATTTCAAAAATGCAACGGTTTTCTCCTGTGATAACTGAGTAAAAAAAAGGCTTTGTATTAGAAGCAATATGTAACCATAGGTATGGCATACTGTAGAGGTAACTCCATTCATTACTTTTCTTTTGCTA